ATTTTTAATTTTTATGTTTAGAAACACAAAAGATGGGCAACCAACCAATGAAAACAATTATGGAGCCTCCAACTTTCGGTGTATGTCAAATTAATAATCGTGGAATGGCAGCAGAAATGCGTCAAAAAGATGATAATCAAAAGAAAGCAACAAATACACCATTACTCGATGTTGAAGATCGTCGTAAATTGAATAAAGTAGTACATTGTGAAAATTTTGGTAAATGTCAAGATAAATCAAACGATGTATCCGATATTAAAAAAAAATATGGTCTCTGAATTAAATAAATACAAATATGAACAAGATTCTATCCTTCTGCTTTGTTATTCCTTTTTGTCACGAAAGATTTTTTATTTGAAAAAAAAACAACAAACAAGTGACAATGAAGCCTTGTATTAAACGATTTATGATTTTAATAAAATAAAATAATTACAGGATGCTCCTAATGTTTTTGTATATATCTTTACTGTTTGATTTAACTTTATCAATTAATTTGCTGTTTCAATAATAGATACATCCACTGATTTTTTTATTTCTACGAGCAAACGTCAAAGCAAACATTTTTAACCGAAATAAAAAAATTTAGCTTCTTTTCTATATGTCGAAAATCATTATGCAGTGATTCTGTTTTTGATTTCTTCAATATCTTGAATCATTCTGATCTTTTATAGTCGTTTGATGGATATTTGTTTCGATATACTCCTATATAAAGAAATGTAATGGTATTAAGTCTAGTGAATGTGAACCTCATGAGATCGGTCCATCTCTTTCAAATTAACGATTGTCGAACTTATCGGTCAGCTACAAGAAAACTGTTTTAGAGAAATGTTCTGACAACCTATGTTGTTGAAAATTGTCTTTTTAGTAATTCTTGTTTGCTATGTAATCGGATAAAAGAAGCATTGGAGTATGTCAAACTGATTTCGTTGATCAAACATTTGATCCTTAAAAAAATAGTCCAACGAACAGTTTCCTTGACCTAACATATCACACAGTAAGTTCTGGAGAGTGCATTGCGACTTCGTAGTGGCACATAAATTTTCTTGAGTCCCAATACAGTAGTTGTATTTATTAGCCAATACAGAGAGTGAAGGTATGAATAATTTAAGCAATTAAAAAAGAATCTGTTATAGAACGTACTTAAGACGTACCACGAGATAGAAATTATCAAGGGTATTATCCATGTATGTTCGTTCTCTTTTTTTTCTGTACATGCTGTTAACAATGCTATATCTTCTCTTTCGTTCTATCAGAAGTTGTTCCTGATGTAGTGTTCTGATTTTTTCCCTACTGTCCTTTTGCTTTGACGTAATGACTCATATATTTTTCCAACAGTATCATGTCATTTGTTGGTATATGCCCTCTATTTTCGAACACGTGAGACGGATCTAACGGAATCGCTGAACATTATTTTCCACATATAAAAAAGGCTAAATTTTGTGTTTCGATTAACGGCGGCAGCTGTAACACTTGTTCATGTAAATAAAAAGTCGGTGTATGGGTATCGTTGCAAATGAGCGAAAACACTACTTACAATGGAGGTGTGTGTGATGTAACTCAAGGAGATAGGACATATTCGGGTCAAATTAAAGGTCTCACTGTCAAACTAACAAATTTAAAATATGACGTGCTTATGGCTTGCCTGGACCGAGATATTCGAATTTCAAGATATGTGAAATTTAGGTATAAACATGAATCAGGAAAGATTTTCTCCACTATTGTAAGGACAAAACATAGT